TTCAGAGGGTGGGAGGGAGGGAGAGACAGAGAAACATCACTGTGAGAGACACACATCAATGGGTTGTTTCCCATATGTGCCCTGACCAGGGTCAGGGATTGAGCCTGCAACTGAACTATGTGCCCTTGGCCAGATCGAACCCGGGACCCTTCAGTCCAAAGGCTGACGCTCTAACCACTGAGCCAAACTGGCTAGGTTGTTAGGGCTTTTGAATTGGAGCTCTGCCATTTACTAGTTGAACACCATAAATAGTCATCAGTCTCTGAGCTATATTTTACTCAGTTGGAAATTAAGGGTAATAATCTAAGAATATCTCTGACGTGAGATAATGATAAAGTTAAGTGAGAATATATGAAGTGCTCTACAAATGTATGACATTACTTATTACCTAAAATACTCAATTTTCTAATATCTATTAGGAAAAGGCAGCTAGAATTAGAATCAGAACTTCAGTCGTTGCAAAAAGCGAACCTTAATCTTGAAAACCTTTTGGAAGCAACAAAAGCCTGCAAGCGGCAAGAAGTTTCTCAGCTGAATAAAATTCATGCTGAAACACTGAAGGTAGGTAATCTGAAGCAGTACTTCAGTCACTGCTGCCTTCAATCGCTGCTTTCTCATTTTGTTAGTAATGCAGTCGGTACAGATGATCTCCAGATACAGACAGAATCCTTTGCAGGCAGCTAACCCAGGGTAACACTAGTGCCAGTGTTCTGATGTATCCCCAGAAAGATATGTAGTGTTATTTCATAGATTGTTTTTTATTGTGCTTTGCTTTTAAAAGTAAGTGGATCATCCTACATATGTTATTCTACAGTGGGCTTTTGTTATGTGAGGGATATGACTTGGGTCTTTCCATATTAACTAATACCTAGAAGCTTACCTTATTTTAAACCTAAGCTTCCATGTTTTGGATGACCTGTGGCTTAGTTAGGTGGTTTCCAGTGCAAGCATTCTCGGGGGGCAGGTAGGCGGGAGGGTGCCTGTGAGGGAGAAGTCTCAGGATGTCCCAGCATTGGAGCGAGTCTGCTTAAGTACCCCCTCCGGCAGCTGCACCATGTGCCTTCCCGGGAAGTCAGGGAGCTTGCATTCCCAGACACAGGCCCTTTAATGGTTGACAATCTGATGTGTGAAAAATGGTATTTTGTTAAGGTTTTAATTTCCATTCCCCTCATTTCTAGTGAGGTCACAGATCTTCCTGTGTTCATTGTCCATTTGTCCCCTTCTGTGAAAAAAGAGCCCATTTTCCTACTACCTGATTTGTAGGAGTTTTTATGTGTTAATCTAGTTTGTTACACCTACTGCCAATATATTCTGCCATCATGCTCCCTGTCTTTCCTCTTCGGATGTGATACTTTCGTTAAACAGAAGTTTAAACATTTTAACAAACCCAGGTTTATTCATTCTTTTCCTTTGTGACTTCTTTCATTTTTAAAGGCCGAGACAATCTCAAGGTCATCAGTATATTCTACTTTCTTTTACTACTTTTATAATTCTGTTTTTATGTTGAGGTGTTTAATGCATCTGCTATTTTACTTTGGTATGGTATGGCATAGGGATTTAACTTTTTTAATAGTCCATGATTTTGTCATGAATTTGAGCTTTACACGTATAAATTATTCTATTTTTGGACTTTGTGTTTCCTTCCAGTGTTCTATTTGACTATTCATATCCTAATAATATACTTTTTAAACGACCACACCCTTATAATGTACTTTTATGTTGGACATGGAAATCTTCCCAGTTGTCTTTCTGTCTTTTTACACATTTATTCTTTCTGTAAAGTTTGGAATCAGCCCATCAAGTCTCATTTTTTTCTAGATCTTATTAGAATTTCGCTTAAGTCAGCCTTAAGTTGGTAGCTTTGTCTCTGCTTGGGCAGTGCTGTGCTATCTCAGGGATGCTTTCTTCTTTTCAGAAGCAGAGTTTCTTTTATCTTCTCTGTTCACACGAGGATCTTTCTCCTGTGGGCTCTTTTTTTCATGTGTGCTAATGTTGTTTTCCATACAACTCACTTTTTGCTGCAGATTATAACTACACCAACCAAGGCTCATCAACTTTGGCCTCGACAAGTACCAAAATTAAGCCCTGAAACGGGGAGCTTTGGGTCTCCGCACAGTCAGAATTCTAGCAGATTAGGCAATGACATCTCAAATGAGCCAGTTCCACCTGAGATGAGTGAACAAGCTTTTGAGGCCATTTCCGAAGAGCTTAGGATGGTGCAGGTAATGTTTAGTTTCAGAAAAAATAATTCTCATTCATTTGGCAAATTTAGCAGGTTGTTGTCCAATGTCCTGTGTCTTTGGTTCTCTTACATGGAAACAGACCAGTTTGCCACTAGATTCAGGTTCCAGAACTGGTTTGTTTACATGGCACAGAGCCGTAAAGAAAATTAAATAGTTGGCAGAATCTTATTACAGATGAAATTTTAGACAACTTTTGGTATATTTGAAATAACGTGAAATTTGCTTATCTCAGAATTCGGTGATTTGATTTTTTTCTTTTCTTTGAGTTTTCTACTGTCTAGTAAAATGTATAGAGTGAGCCAGACCACTCCAAATTCCAAAATTTTGCCCTTTTTCTGGCATGGAGGCCTTTGTGGTGAAGTCACTCTGTAGCCCTGAGAAAGCTTCTCAGAAGTCTCAAGCTGGCTTTGTGGTTTAATCCATGATTTTAATTTTAATCACTTATTTCCTACATGTTTCAAATTATCTACTTTGTTGGACCACAAATGTAATTCTGAATTATGCAAAATCATTAGTATAGTCTTTTGAAATTGTTTTCTGGCTCCAAACTGGCCTTTGATAACCTATGTCCAGACAAGGTTTTGAGTTTTGTTTTTTTAAAACAGAAGAAATGGTGGAATATGTAAGATTTTTGTAAAAGACTTTTTGACAACGGAAGTTTTTGTGTTGCAGGAACAAATGAGTACCCTTCAGGCCAAGTTGGATGAAGAAGAGCATAAAAACCTGAAGCTTCAGCAGCGCATTGACAAACTGGAACATCATTCTACACAAATGCAGGAGGTGAGACCGAGGGCTCAGCCTCAGAAATGTGAGAGTCAGATCCTTAAAGGGGATCTGACTTCACAGAGCCCAGTCAAGGCTGATTTGAGTTGCATTCTCTACTTTGATGCTTCCTATCCTGCTCTGATAATGAGGCCCCCGCCCCAGTCTGAGCTCTGGCCCTCTCAGTCCATAGTGCACATGGATCCCTTGCTGTTTGTCCAGAAGAAAGCGGGATGACGGTTCGGATGCCTGCAGGGCTCCTTTCTTTTGTTGGGCAGCCTCACTGTAGTTAATGGGAACAGTGAATTTCTTCCGGTCAGATACTGTAGAACGATTTTAAAAGCAGAAACAAAGTAATGGTTTGGAGTGTGTCTCAGCATGCCTTTTCCAGTAAACTGAGCCCTTTCCCACAGCTTTTCTCATCAGAGAGAACTGATTGGACCAAACAGCAGCAAGAGCATCTCTCACAGTTGAATGTCCTTGAAAAGCAGCTTCGGGACACTCAGACTAAGAATGACTGTAAGTGTGAACAACTGGGAGCTTTGGAAACTGAATGCTGGAACTTGTTTAACTAAAGAGCTTTGGTGTACATCTTAAATGTAGGAAATAAGTCAGATGTTAATTCTTTCTTTTTTGGTAGAAATAGATCAGAAACTGTGAGCAAGGGCAAGGAAGAAACTAGAAATCTCATTACTTCTAGGTACCTTCCACTTAGCTGTTCATCAGCCTTTTTTTGCTGATTGTGTGAAGTTAACTATCAAATTTACTTGCCTACTATGTAAAAAATAAGTGTAGAGAAGCCTGTTGAGGGTTTATTTTGTTTGCCTTGTAGTTTTGAAAAGTGAGGTGCATGACCTGCGAGTAGTGCTCCATTCTGCAGACAAGGAGCTGTCTTCTGTGAAGTTGGAGTACAGTTCATTCAAGGAGAGTCAGGAGCAAGAACTCAACCACCTTTCCGAAAGGCACATGCACATACAGCTTCAACTAGATAACGTCAGGTAGAGTTGTTTTGTTATGATTGGCCCGTAACCCAGGACTCCTTGAAGTGCATGTGCTGTAAGCCCAACTCAAACTAGTTGAACAAACTAAAAGTTAATTTATTGGCCCCCAGTATTGGGAAGCCTCAGAAGTGATTGTGATTTCAGGGACAAACTAGAAACATGTCTCTCAGTATTGTCAGTGTGCTCCTTTACTCTTCTGTTCTCTGTCTCCCTCTCTCTTAGCCTCTGCTCTGCTTCCCTCTGTGTTGCCCTCATTCTGTCCTATTGAGGGCCTTCCTATGTGTGACAGGGAACAGATGGCCTCACTGCTCCATATTCTGTCTCCTACATTAACAGCTCCTGTGAAGGGATCCTCTGTCCCAGCCACCATATGTCAATCCCAGGGAGAATTGGAATTGGTCTTGCTTGAGTCATCTGCTTACCTTTGGACCAGTCACTTAGCAAGGGTGTGAGGTGGCATTGGCGCAACAAGGTGATGTGCCTGTTTCACAGGGAAAGGTGTGATCTTAGAGAAGAAGGGATAGTACAAAGGAGACCAAATCAGTAGTTCTCACCACTGTCCATAGTATCTCTCCAGAGGCTGGCTGGTTAGTCAAATGCTAGCAACCTAGAAACAAAGTAATCTAAGATGTAAATTGTTCTTATTGGGGGTTTTCCTTGCTAATTTCAGCCTTTTGTAAAACATGACTTAAAACCATTTTGTGTTTTTGATACTGTCTCCTGGGTCTATGGCAGTAACTTAAAAATGGACATTTTGAATGTGGGGCTGTGAGTGTGATGAGTGTGACTACTCAATCTAGAGAACCTGCTAATAGCCTTGAATTTAATTTTTATAGAAGTTGCCAAAATTAAAATCTGGAGGTCTTGAGTGTTTTCTGAATATACAACAAGAAATTAAGCTAGAGGAGGAAAACGAGACCTGCAGGCCAAACTCAACCACAGACGTGTTTTTATTGGGCCTGCCCAGTGAGGTTTTAAAAAATTAGCATAGTGTTTTTTAAAATGAGAAGCTTTCTTATAAAAATCCATATTTCAGCATCCTCTTAAAAATCAGAGTTTGGTGGCACAGGGTCCATGTTACTGCAGGGGGACCAGCAGCTGCCCTGTGAGTCACCCCTTCCCTCCAGAGGGCACGTGCTGATTCAGCACAACCTTCACCACTCTGTGCTGTTTCCCCAGCACCAGGACTGCGGGCTGGTGCCATTTATCATCAGGTGCACTGTTGCTTTTTCTTACATCTGGGATTTGGTTTTGTTTGTTTTTTAATTTTTTTAAAAAATATGTCTTTATTGATTTCAGAGAGAGGAAGGGAGAGGGAGAGGGAGAGATAGAAACATCGGTGATGAGTCATTGATCGGCTGCCTCCTGCACGCCCCTGCTGGGGATTGAGCCCAAAACACAGGCATGTGCCCTGACTGGAAATCAAACTGCGATCTCCTGGATGATAGGTCAGTGGTTAACCCCTGAGCCGTGCCTGCTGGGCTCTGGCATTTGTTTTTAACATTTGAATCAGAGTCTAATCACTGAGTCTAATCTTGGCACTGTCATAAACTAATTCTGGGCGACTTTTTTGAAAAGCCACTCCACTAATCATTGGATCTTATTTTCCTCACATTAGTACAGAGCCACTATATTTGGCTCTGTACTTAAATTCTGTCTTTAAAATATCAGGTGCTTCCTCACTTTTTAAATTGGACATAATTTAATTGTTCTCCATGTCTCAGTTCAACACTGAGGACACCACTCATTGGGCTGTTTATACCATGCCCCCGTGGTGCTCTCCCTGCATGAAACAGCACAACACTGCTCTGTTTCATGAATTCTTTTGCCTGCTTTGTTTATACAGTTTGTATCCTAAATACATATGTTCCCCCTCCCTCCCATCTATTGTCCATACACCTCTCTTTAGCAACTGATTTTTACCACTTTGTGATTTGCTGCTTGTGCTCTGCGTTCAGTTAGTAAAGCAGATAGACCCCTTTCTGATAGCCTGTGTAGGAGCTGGGACATCTGTTTGGGTGGCCCACAGGTCAGGTTTATTGTTTACTACTTCTTGGCTGAGCTCTGGATGTTTGGGCGTGTCCCAGTATGTCGGGGAACAGAACCAGAAGATGAAAACCTAAGAAGTAGTAAATATAATCATGTGAATGAAAAGATAGTTCTGTCCCAAGGAGTTTACACCTTGTTCAGATTGAAGCCACATTTGTCACCTTGAAATATCTTCATACAGTTGGGAGACTGTGTAATAAATGGATAGAGTTGAGCTACCAATAAAACTAAATGGCGAGTTCCTAGGTTACCTGAGGGTTAGGGCTGGAACCCCCCAAATGAATCGCATCATTCTCTAGATGGCCAGTCAGTTCAGCATGTCGGTTTGAAACCACCAGAGAAATAATGGCTCGAGGCCGACCCGCCCACCCTGTCTTTCTGTCACATGCTGTGGTTTTCATCTGTCTTACATGTTTGTGCATCATGAACATTTTACATATGTTCTTGAGCTTTACACCAGTCAAGGCTTCTGTAAGCCTGGAATGGTCTGTAGCTGGGATAAATTGAACAGTTAATCTGACTAGAACTACATGTAATGCTTATATTTACCATTGTAAAAAATGTTTTCCTGATAAAGATTAGAAAATGAAAAGCTTCTTGAGAGCAAAGCCTGCCTGCAGGATTCCTATGAAAACTTACAAGAAGTAATGAAGTTTGAAATTGACCAACTTTCAAAAAACCTCCAAAACTGCAAAAAAGAAAATGAGACTCTGAAGGCTGACCTGAATGTAAGTTAAGAAGGGTACTGGTTGTGCCTGAATTTGTTCCGGACGTGGGACTGCTCACTGGAGTGCAGGGCAGGCACTGTCTCGATCTCTTCCTAACTTCCCCTGTGGGCCTGGCCCGTGGTGCCTGCCACACAGAAGGTGCTTGATGTGTTTGTTGACTACACATTGCTAGTAACAGTTACTTAAAATCTAATGTCACGTTGTCTTTTAGAATTTGATGGAGCTTTTTGAGGCAGAAAAAGAACGAAATAACAAATTATTATTACAATTTGAAGAAGATAAAGAAAACAGTTCTAAGTGAGTGCTATTTATTTTTTCCATTAGTTAACCAGAATATTATTTACTACCACATTCTTTATCTTGTTTTTCTTAGTTGCTAATACCCTGTAAAGTTATTTTTTTCTAAAGCATTCTGAAAATGAGTAATATGTTTTTGTATAAATGGCTATGTAGAGAAACTTAATTTTTTAAAAGTCAATAACTAGCCATAGTACTTTTTAAATGAATGGTGGTGATCAGAACGCAGGACCTTCTATAAATAAATTGCAGCATTTATTACTGGAAGGTGTGGGTTGATTTTTATTTCTGTCTCTACTCTTTTTCTAGTTGCTCTTTTTTTCTCCTGGTCCCTTAATATGAGTGCCATTGTCTGTCTTCCCTTTCTCTCCAAGTTCTTTTCCTCGGTGATCTCTGTCAGTCTCTTGGCCTCAGCCAATAGGATGATTATTACTCTAATGAGAAGAATCTGTATCTGTTTGTTCAGCAGATGCTTGTAGAGTTATTACTATGAGATAGAGTCTCTTTTAGGCCCTGGTATACAGTGGTGAGTACATATAATGGATACGAGCATCTGGTTGGGAAACAGACGGTTAACATTTAGTCATTCACTCACTTAGTGACACCCAGCAAGCCAGGCACTGTTCTGGCAAACACCAGAACATGTAGAGATAAGACAGTGAACAAAATGTCCCCGTCCTCATGAGTTTTACTTTCTAGCCCAGAGAGTTAGGTAATAAATACTAGGTGTTATATTCTGTGTTTGGGGGTCTCCATAGTACTTTGAAGAAAAATAAACTTGTGGCACGAAAATGGGTTTTTATTCAATAATTGTTGAAGAAATGGGTTCAGATTTTTGACTTGTACTGGAATATAACGCCTCACACTAAGTTTGTGCCCAATAAAGTTTAGTTGCATTGAATCTCTTCTGTACAAATAGACCCAGTTCCTGTTTTTATTGAGTGAAGTCAGTAGTAAAAGGTAACTCTTCTCTTCCAGAGAAATCTTAGACGTTCTTGAGGCTGTGCGTCAGGAGAAACAGAAGGAGATGGCCAAGTGTGAGCAGCAGGTAAATGTCCTGTACTCTCTAAAGTTTGAGCTTTGTCATTTTTCCTGATGTCAAATGGTTTATTATAACAAGTATCTTTTAACCCAGCTTATTGTTTTCAAGTATTACTCCCAGTGTACACTGTATAATATGAAAAACAGATTTTAACTTTTTTTAAAATTATTTTTTATTTTTATTTTTTTTTAATAGAGGAAGGAAGAGAGAAACATTGATTTGTTGTTCCACTTATTTATGTATTTGTTGGTTGATTCTTGTATGTGCCCTGACTGGGGATTGAACCCACAACCTTGGTGTATCCGGACAAAGCTCTAACCAACTGAGCTGTTACCCGGCCAGGGCTTCAACTTTTTATTTTTATTTTTTTAATGTGTGTAATTAACTGTGATTTAATCCCTTTTCTAAAAATACTTTTTTCCCCATAGATGGTAAAAGTACAGAAACTAGAAGAGAGTTTGTATGCCACCGAAAAAATCATCTGTTCTCTGGAGAAGTCTAGAGATGCTGACAAGGTGGGTAGCGGTTGAAGCTACATCCCTCTGTATTTTCTTCATAAATGCTGCTTTAACCTTCCAGTCTCCTCCTCCCAGGGTGACTGATAGCTAGCATTTCTGTGCACGCCTATGCCTTGTTCATCTGTCAAGGTCACTAGAGAATGAGGTTTTTTATTTAAGTTGATTTCCCACATAACTTCAAGTACCAACTGTTCTACTTCTCTTGATGGCAGTGTTTCTAAAAACGCATCCTGCCCCTCCTAACTGTTAGTGTGGCCCTTTCTTGTTGACTCTGAGTCCTATGGTACAAATTCTCAAATCCCTGGTGTTGACTTTAGCTAGAATAATAAACATAATATGTATGTCCAAGTATAAAATGAGGTGTAAATTCCTTATATGTCTAGCTCTTATTCATTCATAAAACCAAAGCAAATGATTAAATAAAATGGCATAAAGCCATTAAAATATAAATCGAGAACATTAAGAGTGTAATGTGACATATGTTCTGCTCAAATGAAACTGACTTCTGTTGTAATTAGGAAAGATAAACAATCTGTCATTTAAAAATGATCTCCTTACTGTCACTGGGCGTGAAGATACTGTTTCTGTCCCCATCAGGAAGTTGTAGCTGACCTCATGAGCCAGATTCAGGAGCTGAGGACGTCAGTCTGTGAGAAAACAGAAACTATAGACAGCCTGAAGCAAGAGCTGAAGGACATCAATGTAAGTTCTATCACCAGCAAGGTGTTAAATTTGAGCACAAGACACACTTCATAGACCCCTCAAGAAGTTACAGATGCTCCATCAGAAAAGAAATTCTGCGGTCAGATAGATTGGAAACACTAGTTACCGCTCAGCAGGGTCTGTAACATGCAGTGTGAGTACATCTCAGTTAAATGGTGGTGCTTGCTCCTTCCCTTGTGTCAAGGTGAGGGTTTTTGTCAATGTTCCCCCGTCCTCTGCTCCACGTGGAGCTTGCTGCCCTCCACCTTTATTTCTGCCGCAGTCTCCTGATAACAATGACAAAACCAGATGGTTTTTCACTGATACCTGTTGGACTTTTTCACTCCTTTTTGCCATCCATGCATTTATCCTTCCATTCATTAATTCAACAAGTAGTTATTGAATTAATTTGTGTTAACATGGTCATCACCTTGGAACTTGGATTCATTTTAAGTTATTTTAATCTAAAAATACAGATCATACAGCAGATAGCTCTTGTATCATAACCTTCTTTTCTGCAGTGTAAATACAACTCTGCTTTGGTTGACAAAGACGAGAGTAAAGTGTTGATTAAGAGACAGGAAGTGGAGATTCTGGATCTGAAAGAAACACTTAGACTCAGAATACTCTCTGAAGACATAGAGGTAATGTTAACACATCGTGGTTTTTTTTTTTTTTTTTTTTTTTTGCTTTATTACTTGTCAATATGTATATGTGTATATGGAGGTTTTTAATGAATAAATAGGGGACTTTTTAAAGGAATAAGTCATAGTTGGAGTCATTTCCCCTAGGGTAATTAGGCATTAATAAGAGTAACATTGTTACATTTTATCTAGTTGATTTATTTTCATTCATTTGTGCTCACACCTCAGTAAGTTCCTATAACTGACGAGGTGTGGGGAAGGGAAAGTAGAGTGCAATTAAACCTCAGTGGGGTACCTATATGAGTATGCTGTAATACTTATTTCTGTACCTGTTCACTAATATTAACTGCTTGGTTTATCTTGGAATGAATTATCACACAAGCCAAAAAAAAAGTTCTCACTTAAAACTTTCTTAACCCTTTAAAAATCACACATAGTAATGATTTGCAAGTCCTTATTGGAGAACCACAATTAAGAAATTCTGCTTTTGTGGGGATTGTCCCCTAACAGAGGGATATGCTCTGTGAGGACCTGGCTCATGCTACTGAGCAGCTGAACATGCTCACTGAGGCCTCGAAGAAGCACTCGGGGCTCCTGCAGTCTGCCCAGGAGGAGCTGACCAGGAAGGAGGCCCTGATCCAGGAGCTTCAGCATGAGGTGAGCTGCAGGGGGAGGTGCCACGCAGATTGGGGCATGTTGTAAGGTCCCTCCCTTGGCTAATGGGGTACTGAGGTGGTTGGCAGCTGCTCTGTGGGCTCTCAAGGACTTGGTTTCTCCCATGGGTTCAGACTTGCTTGGCTGTCATCCTGCCCACTGCCAACCTTTGACATGTGCCAGCAATTTCTAACCACTGTGGTAAGATTATGGCTGATTTTCATCTTTTTGGCTGCTGCTGTTTTATGCTTTGTATTTTTCCTCAAATGACCCTTTGATCATTTTTGAAGCTTAAAAACCGTTGTTTTTTTAAGTGTAAATAAATTCATGAGAAAGGGAGATGAGAGGGTTATAGTAGCAGCTAAGGTATACAGACAGAAATGGCAGCCCAGATTTTACAGTTTATTACTTAAAAATTGCTCTGGTTTTCATTTTAATATATTACCACTTTTCAAATTATTAAATCCCCCAAAATGTAAAAAGCCTATTTCCACATGCCTTGGGAAGATTGGCTGTTCTAATTGGACCATGGGCCCCATTGTTTTATAACTTGTAACCTGACATCTGTTGATTTGCCCAGTTAAACCAAAAGCAAGAGGAAGTAGAGCAGAAAAAGAGTGAGTATAACTTCAAACTGAGGCAACTAGACCACGCGATGGATTCCGCTGCTGGGTATCCCCAGGTACTGTCCAGAAGGAGTGCGTCTCGGGATGAACAAAGTTTCGTGAGTGATAAAAGTTTGGAAATTACTAAGACCATAGCTTTGTCTTTTTATAGAATTTTCATTAGCACCTCTTCTGATTTTTACTTGATAAAAACGTACCAGTGTTTTAGATCTTTTCCTTGGACAAGATTTAGAATAACAAACTAAATAGCCTATTTTCTATATGCTTGGCATATACTTAAAATGAAATCTTTATAACGTCACTTAATCAGGTGTTTGGGTGAAATTTTATTTTATTTTAGAGCCCTAAAACACCACCTCATTTTCAAACACATTTGGCAAAACTCCTGGAAACACAAGAACAAGAGATAGAAGATGGACGAGCCTCTAAGATTTCTTTGCAACACCTTGTAACAAAGCTAAATGAAGACAGAGAAATAAAAAATGCTGAAATTCTCAGAATGAAGGTAAATGGCTGATTGTTTCCATTAAATTTCATGCTTTAAAATAAGTAGTATCTTTCATGGTGCTGAGGATGCAAAATTCAAAGGCACAGAACTCAGGGTCGGCAGAAAAGTCTTCCTCTCACCCTGACTCCAAGCTACTCGTCTGTTCTGGAGGCTCCCAGTGTAGCCGGTTCCTTATCAGTCTTTTAGAGCTTTTCAGTGCGGCTATAACCAAGTCAGCACCGTCTCCCTGCCCCTTTGGTTTTTATACGAGGGTTCGTATCATCATACAGGCTGCACCAACGACTTGTCCCCATGCTGTCTGACTTAGCTCTTTGCCGTTTTAATGGCTAAAGCGTGTTGTCTCCTTGTGGGCTTGAGTTTGTATTTGTCTTAATAGGAGTAAGTTTCTATGAGCTATCTTCCTACCATTTTTCTATTGTTAAACTTTTTCTTAATGATGTGAGGCATTCTTTACATATTATAGAGATTAGCTTTTGTCTATGATAGTTAAAAATACTTTTCTCTCTCTTTTAATCTTTTAAATTTATTTTGAGAATATGTTTATTAAAGCTGGGGACAGTGAAGCAGGAAGGGCTTAGGACAGAAGAAGCAACAGGAGGGAGCCTGGGCGGGGCTGGGTTGGCTCACTGGGAGGCTGTGGGAAAGGAGTGAGCAAAGGCAGGGCTGCTGTCAGCTCACTGAAGAGCCAGAGAAAAGGGGTCTTGGGGACAGGTTCAGGGCTTAGCCTGGGATGAGCTGTCGCTGCCCATTTCTCCCCTGGTTTCAAGTCCCTTAGAGTTTAGGAGATGCCCACCTGTGGGGGAAGAAGAGGAGGAAGAGAAAGGCGTGGGCATGTGCCCAGAAGGGAGAGCATGCCAAAACTACTTTTCTCTTGTTTGCCATTCTTTTAGACTGCCTTCTAGTGTTTTACCCAGGTGTTTAGGGGTATGGTGTCTGGATGGTTATGCTTGTGATTTCAATTAGAATCCAGTTAAGTATTTAAATTAGGGTCTATCAGATAGAACATTTACCAAAGTAGAGACTTTTTGTCATCTTTTCTCATAAAGGAATTTTAATGAATCAGTGATAATTGATCAGAGACTATGTTTAAGACACTGGTTGTGAGACTGAGTCACACAGTTCAGTTCCCTAAGAGCTTGTCACAATTCACTCTGCATCCACTGTCATCCAGTGCAGTATTCTGTGCATAGGAGAAGCTTAAAAGAGAAATACTTGCCTCAGTCATGGCCTTGGGGAGCAAAATATTGCCTACTATCGTGCGTTTTCTGAAAAACCATGATTTCATGTGTTATTAGGAGCAGTTGAGTGAAATGGAAAACCTACGCCTGGAAGCTGAGCAGTTGAGAGAGAAAAACTGGCTGCTGCAGGGTCAGCTGGATGATACTAAAAGACAAAAGGACAGTAGGTGAGAAAGAGCTGCTAGAACTCTGGGCTCAGTCGTGGCCTGCCTGTGTCGTTAAATGAAGGAGGGGAGAATACACACTGGTTTCCCATCAGTTGCTTTGTTTGTTTTATTTTAAATTGTTTTTTATTTTTCAATTACAGTTGACATACAATATTATATTAGTTTTAGGTGTACACCCCAGTGATTAGACATTATATAACTTAATAATCATTCCAGTAAATCTTGTACCCACCTGGCATACATAGTTATTAGAATATTACTGACTGTATTCCCTGTGCTGTACTTTACAGCCTGTGACTGTTCTTGTTACAACCAGTTTGTACTTCTTAATCCCTTCACCTTTTTATACCCATCCCCCGACCTCCCCTCTCATCTGGCAACTGTCAAAATGATCTCTGTATCTATGATTATCTATGAGTCTGTTTCTGTTCTTATTTACTTTGTTTTTTTTAGATTCGATTGTTGATAGATATGTATTGATTGCCATTTTATTGCTCATATTTTTTATCTTTTTTCCCCTTGGTTTGAACCAGGTCTGATAAGGGTTGCTTTTCCCAGAGTGGGAGAGTACGGCATTTGTGATCTTGCCTACTTTATTTAACTTTGCATTGTTGTAGAGCTATGGAAGTGATTTTCAGATGCAAGAAATACTTGAACCAAACTGTTTACTCTAGTTAAAAAGAAAAAGGGAGCAAATCTCTCAACAAGGTGAAGTTTAAGAGGTCCTGCAGAAAAGGGAGACTGTCCTACCAGTTGGTTTTGCTGCATGACTCATGGTCCAGGGAAAGCTCCTGGGTAGCAGCACTCCAGAGGAGCCTTTCCTTGGGTTTGGTGTCTCTAGATTTGTTTGTGTTTTGGCTTCAGCTTAGGCAGTTTTTTTGTTTATTTGTTTGTTTGTTTGTTTTTAAATATATCTTTATTGATTTCAGAGAGAGGAAGGGAGAGAGAGAGAGATAGAAACATCAATGATGAGAGAGTCATTGATCGGCTGCCTCCTGCATGCCCCCGACTGGGGATCGAGCGGCAACCCGGGCATGTGCCCTGACCAGGAATCAAACCCCAATTGCCTGGATCCTAGGTTGATGCTCAACCGATAAGCCACACCCAGCTGGGCAAGCAGTTTTTGAATTGTATTTGCTGATGTCACAGTGTCGCTGGCAACCACACCCAGGCTATATCCTGTCTCTGAGACATGAAAGTCATGTGACTTCGCACACATTTTTAAGCCTCTTGGGTGCCCCAGTTTCTTTAGCAATAAGATGAAGAAAATGATAGCTCTCACACAAGGTGTTTTAAAGACCAAAAATAATGTGTATAAAGGACAGGTTCCAGTGCTTAGCAGAGGCAGTTTCTCAGTACATGGCAGTTATTAAGTACACAAGAAAGAATTGTGATCCTGCCTGTTGTCAATTTGCTGAGTGAGACTGGAGATGAGAGTGGCCTGTAAAATTATGCAGCAAGTTGAAGTGAATCAAAGAGGGCCTCTTTGGGATCGAGGCCCTTACTGAATTCACCTTCCCAGAACAGGGGTGTCTGCTCCTCCTACTGATGTCTTTGTCCAGAAGCAGCCCTGAGTTGTACTGTCCAAAACCTAAATGAGAGAACAGATATTTGAGGATGGTGATGGTGGTTATGCTGACAGTCTACGGTCATGTGCTGCATAGCTACATTTCAGTCAGCAACGGGCCGCATATAGAAAGGTGGCCCCATAAGATGATAGTGGAGCTGAAAGATTCCTGTTACCTAGTGACATCATAGTGACATCATACCTGTGATAATATCATAGTGCAATGCATTACTCACATGTTTGTGGTGATGCTGGTGTAGACAAGCCTGCTACACTGCCAGTTGTATAAGAGTATAGCTTATATAACTATGTACATACTTGATAGTGATAATAAATGACTGTCGCTGGTATTATTTTAGACTACTTTTTCTACTTACAAAGAAACAGTATGCCATGTTACACCAGCAGCAGCCTCATACGTCTCACGTTTACTGTGTCTCTTGATTGCTTTTAATCTCATGTTGTTATGTGCAGTAATATGCTATACAGGCTGGTAGCAATAGGCCATACCATCTAGCCTAGGTGTGTAATGGGCTGTACTATCTAGGTTTGTGTAAGTTTGCTCTGTGATGTTTGCACAACAATGAAATCATCTAACGCCGCGTTTTTCAGAATGTATCCCCATCGTTAAGCAGCACGTGACTGTGTTCCAGAATGCTTCCCTTCAGGTGTTATTGAGCACTAGAGACGCTCATTTCAGTAGCATCCTCTTTATGGATTTCACTTCCTTTTCTGGGTGATTCTGATGCAGATGGTCCAGAGTGTGCTCCCTAGTTTCCTTATGCTCCACCCCTATGTCCAGTCATGTTAAAGAAAAGCATTGTATGTGGTATACTATCTTTTATCAAATTAGTTTGATCATGGAAAACAGAATGGTTTCAGATCATTTATAAAACCACAATTAGAAATAATGTGTTTCATACCTCATGTTCCTTTTTTGAGGAGCTATACAGAAACTTCATGAAAGGTTAGGGTAGAAGAAAACTAGCCCCCGCCCTTCTCTGTTCTCCACACTGGGAGCAGCTCTCTTGCCAGAGTCCCTCATCCCCTGAAAGTGTACACCTGCGCCAAGTGTGTCTCCACCTCCTTGGTCAGCAGCACCCCTCAGCTGCTGAGCCGGTCACTGTCTGCAGTGGTGCTGAGACAACTCAAGACACTGACAGATGAGAGCCTCAGCAGCTTGGCAGCCCCACGTCCCTGACCTCGCTTATATCTAGCTGCAGCTTCCAAACCAGCGCCATTTCAAGGGATATCGACACAGCAGCCTCGTTCGCTGGGGCTGGGGCTGCCACAGTAGGGGTGGCAGGCTCTGGGGCTAGAATTGGGACTGTATTTGGGAGCCTCATCATTGGTTCTGCCAGGGACCCTTCCCTGAAGCAACAGCTCTTCTGCACCATTCTGGGCTTTGCCCTCCCAGGGGCCATGGGGCTCTTTTGTCTGATGGTGGCCTTTTTCACTCACTTCACCATGTGAAAGAACCGTCTCCACCTGCCATAGCTCTTTCTCCCGTCTTATCTGTCCTGTGTGTTCCTTTTCCTTTGCCTCCTAGGCTGCCTGGGGAAAGTGGTTGGCTCAGGGTTAGACAGAGGAAAGACAAATCACTGTGTGAATAAGGGAAGGGAAGAGAAACTCTCGAGGGGCAAATCTGGCCCGTAGCCTATTTGGTAAATAAAGTTTTACTGAAGCACAGTCCTGCCCCTTCATTTAAATATTGCTGTGGCTGCTTTTGTATGACAACAGCCAACCTGACAGCTATGACAGACCGTATGGCTTGCAAAGCCTAGAATATTTTCTGTCTGGTTCCTGACACGCAAAGTTTACCCACCCCTGGATTAGAGCAAAGGACACACAGCTTCCCTGATGATTTCGGGTGTTTTCCTACAGAGGTCTCATCCCCCATTTTGGTCTAGGCTGCCAGATTCATTAAGTGAAAGAAACTACTCTGTCTTCTGTTTTCCTTCAAGAAATTATCTTTTTGTTTTTTACTCCTCAGTGAGAGATACTCCTAGAGAAGCCTGTGGTGATCAAGCAGAATCTCCTGGGGGCGTTTCCTGGGTCCAGAGGCTGCTCCCAGCAACTCAGCTTCTTATCCTAACCTAGTCAGGCTCAAATGGACTCAGATTGATCAAATTCACATGAGACCGCTCTCACCCAGAATATAATTTTTTTTATACAAATGGTTTTTTCATAAAGAGATTTATGTCTGGTTCTTAGGGAATCCGCTTCCTGGTGTCAGCATGCATGGGCAGCCAGTGTCATCAGCAATTGCCAGCTGGCTGTGAAATCCGACGAAAAGGCCCTCAGGGCTCTAGGGGCCAGGCCAGTCTGAGGAATCCTCCCCAACCCCAAAGGTGCCCCCTCCCAACTGATCACAGTCATACAGACTCCTGACTGCCCTTTCCCTCAGCCCCCTTTTGCTCACATTTGGTCTTTAGGTGATACCCCTCTTTTTTACTTTCAACCAAGCCTTGCTTTGATTTCTCAGCTTTGCTCACCTCACTTTTGTGTGGGAGGAATCCTGAATCCTGGGGAGGTGCCTTTCGTCCTTGTACGTGGGTAACTTGATGTCCCCACTGAGTTGGCTTTTCTTTGCACAGCTTGGCACCGTTGCATGTAATAGACATGAAATGTACTTGGGTGTCCTTGACACTGTTTCCCACCCCCTCCTCACCCATGCAGTGAACACAGCGCTCCCGACAAGCAGCAGCTGGAGAATGAAGAACTTACCAAGGAAAGACTTGCTAAAGTATGACTGTTCTTTCATACCAGTTTTTAACTGTCCGAGAAGTGCTTTTATAGTTAGCATTTGTGGTTCTGTAGTTAGAAACCACTTACTATTGAAATGTCTATCTTTTCCCGTATTCCCACTGTTAAGTTTGATAGTCACCATCAGCATTTAGACATAGCTGAAAATTAAGAGTTTCGTCTTCATGCCTGGGTGGTGGTGAGCCCACTGCTCGGCATACGTCCCAGTTAGAAGCGAGGAGTGGGTGCCTGTCCGAGGCCTGCAGGGCACAGCCTGTGAAGTCGTGAGTGTAGCTGGGCTGTGGACGAGGGTGTTGGTTTGATGGGTTTTGTTACTGTGAGGGCGAGTGGGCTGGTTACTTTCAGTTGATTTCTTTAGCAATGTTAAGAACTTCAGCCATCTTTTTCCTTCTGTTTTTAATCCTATAGAATAAGTTAGTTGAAGAAATGCTGAGAACGAAAGCAGAGTAAGTGCAGTTTTGTAATTCGAGCTCTTACTGCTCTTTTCTTTCTTCTTCTCTGAGGGAAGAAATACATCCACAAGGTAAGGAACTTCTTTCCTTCTGAAGTAGTGGGGGAATGTAACAGACATTCACAGAATTGTTTTTCTAAATACCACTTGCTGCAGGGGTTCCTCACATGAAGCCATTCCAGAAATCACCTTTAGGAAATAAGTGCCAGGAGAAGCTTAGCTTAGCTTCTCTGGAGGAATCGATTGGTTTTCTCTTCATGGATACTGAGGAATAACTGACCAGCTTTCCCTTTTCATTTCTTGTTTCCTCTGATTTAAACTTGAGGCCTCTGAGACCCATAGATCAATACTCTGATTTCTTTAGGTCTTGGCCTTGCATATCCTTGGAGAAATGACTGTCCCACTGTCTGACCAGTGTTTGACATCAGAAACGATTACTGTTAGGTGTGGGGCACTAAATAAACCATGCAGCCCTAGTAACACTTCAATTATGTTTGCTCCATGTGGGCTGAATGGGAAAGTTTTCATTCTGAATTTTCATTATTTAAAAAATGGTTTGAGGATTTTGCCAAAATGAAAGTCTGGCTTAAAGCAACAACAAAGCGTACCTGTAGCCTGGCGATCTTCCTGTGCTGTCGGAGGGAGGGCAGTGATTAGCCATACTTTCAAGTCAACACTGTGGGCTCAGGTAAAGCATAATTTGAGTACTGTTGGACTTATGTTCCTTAGGAATATCAAAAAGGGGTACTTATTGTTACAGCCTAGAAGAAGTCCAGAGTGCCCTGCAGAACAAAGAGGCGGACTACCTTAGAATGACTGAGGAAGTCGAACGAACCAGAACGTTGGAGTCTAAAGCGTTCCAAGAAAAGGAGCAACTGAGATCAAAGCTGGAAGAATTATACGAAGAAAGGGAGAGAACACTCCAGGTGCATTTGTGTGTGTGTTTTTTCCTATACTTAGGCCTCATGAGTTAATAGAACAAGTCGGAGTAAGACACATATGATTGGGTGTCCTGTGGTTCAGACTCGCTGTAGCGCATCAGAGATGTCTGTGTGTCTCTCTCTCCCTGCGCTCTCCAAAGGCATGAAATAATGGTACCTTTTTAGAAAAATGAAGAGCAGTTCATTTTCTCCTTCCTGGATTGATTACCTGCAGGAGATGGAAATGCTAAGGAAGCAGGTGGAGTGCCTCGCTGAGGAAAATGGCAAGTTGCTAGGTCACCAGAACCCAAACCAGAAGATTCACTACGTGATGCGGCTGAAGAGGGAAAATGTCCGGCTCGCCGGGGTAAACTCCAAAAATTCTTAATTATTGATCACTTAAATTGCTTTCTTTAGGGAACTTCCTGAATTCAAAACAATTCAGTCATTGCTCTTCTAAGGATAATTCAGTCAGTTTTCTTATACATCACATTTCTGGTTAATGTTGAGTAGTTTACAAATTTAAAGTTGTAGTTTTAATTTGAAATATAAATTTAATGAGTGCCAAGAATAACTCTTCCAGTAAGAATTAGAGCCTTAATTTTTTTCTTTTCCTTTTTTAAAAAAATGTCTTACCAGGAGACAGAAAAGTTGCGTGCAGAAAATATATTTTTGAAAGAAATGAAAAAAAGTTTCTGATGAGCATTCTGCGGCCGTACACGTCTGGTGGCAGTCGGCAGTCAGCACTCTGCTGTGTAGAGGGCACCGCCCACTGCAAGGCTCTCAATCAACTGTGAACACTGGGAAAAACACTTTGCCTTTTTAAATAAAAGCCTGTAGCTGATGTTTACAGTGGATGCTGGCCAGGTTGTTTTTTTCCTGAGATACTAACCTGATCCCCATGAGTCTTAGAAGCTCTCACAAGAGTCAGTGGTCCCAGAATTGCAGTGGGGGTCATGGCTGATTGCACAGCGTGGGTAAAAAGCAAACTTGTAAATACAGATTATTTTTGTATTTCTACTGGAAGTATTCTCATAAGCATTTTTATGACTGCAAACATGGCGATTTTAAAAAATGTAATCAATCTTTTTCAAATAAACAGTCCAATAAAGTGATTCACATGGTTTATTCACCTGGTCATGCAACAGACACTTAATGAGCACCTACTGTATGCTGGGCGCAGGACATCTGTGAACAACAGACAAAAATTGCTGCCCTCCAGGGACTTCTGTGTATCAGCACTTCATGCCTTTTGAGTGCAAATGATATTCCATTGTATGGACATACCGCATTTTACCTACTTACCGCCTGATGGACATTTGAACTGTCTGCAGTGTCTGAATGCTGAGTAATGCTGCCATAAATATTCAAATATGAGTCTTGGTGTAGACATATGTTTTCTACTTCTTGAGTAGAAACCTAGGAGTGGGATTGCTGGGTCACATGGTAAATGTGTGTTTAACTTTTGAAGACATTGCCTGCTTTCCAAATGCACTGTTTGGCTGCACCATTTTCCATTCCCACCAGTGGTGTGCTCCATTTCTCCACATCTACACCAATACTTGTTATTCAGGGTTTTTACTATAACCATCCTAGTGGGCGTGTACTGGTCAATACCACTTACAGCTTCCTAGTGCCTAAGGATATTGAACACTTTTACATATTACAGAAATACAACTCAGCAATATAAAAAGAGATAGACTGATATATGCTACAACATGGATGAAACTTAAAAAAAAGGCTAAGTGAAAAGGCAGACTTAAAAGACCACAGTCTGTATGATTCCATATAAGTGAAATGTCCAGAAAAGGCAAATTTTTAGAGAGAGAGAGGAAATCCTTGGTTGCTGGGGCTGGATGGGAGTAGGAATGACCTTATGGTCACAAGGGAACTTTGTGATGTAGTGAAAATGTTTTAAAACTGCTTTGTGGTCATGGTTGCAGAACTCGATAAATTTTCTAAAAATTAAACTACATTCAAAATGGGTTAATTTTATGGTTTGTAAATCATACGTCAATAAAGCTAAAGAAAAACAATTAAAAAAATTAATTCATAGTTGAACTCTCAAGGGATAGTAGTAAATCCCTAAGAGTAAGAAATGGAGCTCAGTGGAGAGCAGGAGGGTAGACACTGTGGCACCTTGGAGGTGGGAGGAGGTGGACGGTTGCATCTTATTCCCTGTGAGTTTCTTAGGGCTGCTGCAACAAATGATCACAAACTGGGTGGCTTCAAACAACAAAAATTTATTCTCCCACAGTTCCAGAGGCTAGAAGTCCAAAATCATGGTGTTGCTAACGCTGGCCTCTGAGGGCTCCAGGGGAAAGTGTTCCCTGCCTCTTAGTTTGTGGTGTTGCCTACAATCCTTGGCATTCTTTGGCTTGTATATTGCATCACTCCCATCCCAGTCACCATGGTCACCACTTGATTTCCTGTGTTCCATGTAACAAACTTTCAGAGGGGCATCTTTGAGCTGGGCTCTTACAGCTCTTTGTCCAGTGCATAGGGTGGCAGAATGGCTGTAGCCGATAAGGGCTTACAAAGACTATCAAGGAGATACTCAGACCAACAACCCCCAGTGGATGTGTGGCTTTGAACCTGCAGAAGACCAGCTCCCTCCTACACCTTGCAGTAACCCCTAGCCTCATTATGTGCTCCTTATGGTACATTAGCACACTAAACACACCCCACACTGCCAGGGTTGAAGGGAAAGCCCATATAAGGACACAGAATGGCCAAGGGAGCTCTTCAGAGAAGTCTCCACCCTTCCCCCTGGAAAAATCCTGAATATCCCCCCCCTTATTGAATGCCCTACCCCTCAGGTGAGCCTCGATAAAAAGTAAATTCCACTATGGAGGGGCTGCTCCTTCTGTGAAGTAGCCACTCTGTCTCACGGCTTCACTAATAAACTCTCACTTCAACCTCTGTTCTGGCTCACATTTGAATTTCTTCCTGCATGAAGCCAAGAACCCGCCATGGGCCTCAGACCCCAGAACGCCTGCATGTGTGTGGTGCCTCTGAGCTTCAACCTCCTTAACTGCAAAATGGGACAGTTCGCACCCAGAGGAGTTACAGGGCTTTCCGTGCTTTTATTTGAGCCACAAAACCGTCAGAGGGTGGCAAGGAAGGACTTCCACAAAAACTTCCTGCATGGATAAAAAGGAAACAAACTGAACAGAATGTTCACTGTGAATCATGTTTTTTAAAAGTCCCATACATGTAAACTTGAGATGTGTGCTATATATAAAACTGCGTAGAAAGTACTGTATAACCATGGTTTTCCTTCATACATTTCAACAGCACTTTATTTTCAAAGAAATATGTGGCTTTTTAAACAAAACCTTTTAAACATCTTTAAGAGCCCAGGAAATTAGAAGTAATGTTAATCCTAACATTATCCGAATGGAGAGATTATGACTGACATCTTTTTTTTATTTATTAAAGATATCTTTATTGATTTCAAAGAGAGGAAAGGAGGGGGAGAGAGAGATAAGAAACATCAATGATGAGAGAGTCATTGATCGGCTGCAGCCCGCAACCCGGGCATGTGCCCTGACGGGGAATGGAACCCTAATCGCCTGGATCCCAGGTCGAGGCTCAACCGCTGAGCCGCGCCGGGCCCGGCTGGCTGACATCTAGTGGCCGGCGGCGCTGGGCCTCCCCACACCCTCCCTGGAGCCCGCGCTCCTGCCGACTCGGGGCCTCGAGCGCCCCCTGCCGAAGCCTCTCCCCGCCTTGCCCTTCGCCATTTGGAAGGCGCCGGTGACTCTCCGGGGCACCTCGTCAATTCAGATTTTGATCCCATGGGTGTGGGGCGGGGCTGGGGTTCGGCATTTTTAACAAATGCCCACAGAAGCGGGTGCCGGACACCACGTGGCGGGGATTGAAACTGCTGCGCCGCGAATCCTACAGCGGCACCCGCAGCACCGCGGAGTCCCGGCCTCGCGCCGCCGGGCGCGCCCCCGGATGAACCTAAACCTAACGCTAGAGGGCGCCCACCGCCCGAGGAGGCCGCCGGGGGCTCGGCCGGGGTAGCCCCGCCCCCCCCGCGAAGCCCTCGCGGGACCCGAATT